GCCATAGACAACATGTGCTGGGACTGCGGCAACCAAGACTACAAGTACCATGTCACTGATGTGGCCAAAGGTGCTTCTTCCAGCTCCCAGCCTCTGGCTCTGCCCCATGGGGGTCGCTGTCCCAGCTGGGCGGGGCTCGCAGAAGGGGCCCAGGCAACCGCAGGGAGGCGCCGGCTGGACTTGGCAGCTGGGGGGTGGCTGCCCGGTTCCTCCCAAGGCGTCTGACGTGCTCTCTCACAGCTGGACACTCGCTGGAGCTGATCGAGCCTCTCATCAAGTTCCAGATAGGGCTGAAGAAGCTGAACTTGCATGAGGAGGAGCACGTCCTGCTCATGGCCATCTGCATCGTCTCCCCAGGTATGGAGCTGGGCAGTGAGGGTCAGGGGCCTGGAAGCAGGAGAGTGAAGAGCCAAGGCCTCCCAAGGCTGGCAGGGGCTTTGGAGGGGACAGTGAGGAAAGGGACAGGCAAGCGAGGAGACGCACACACTTCTGCGTCTGCATGACCCTTCCTCCGGGTGTGTTGACCCACCTCGCAGCCCTTGGCTTTGCCTTCCAGGGACCCCAGAGGATGGGTGTGTAGGGTTCTATGGAACAACAGATAGCTCACCCACGGGCCTGGAAGTCCCCAAGCCTGCGCTGTTGCTTGGACTGAGTTCTCCTCTCCTGTCACTAAAGTTTCATGAAGGCGAGACCCAACCCTGGGGAATGGTAGCATTCTGGCTGGATGGTTTGATCAACTGTGGAGGCAACGTGCTTTGCCTGCTGGCCTCCTCTGCTTGTCAGGGGCGGGAAGAGAGAGAAAAGGCTGAGGAGGAAGTTGGGTAGCCTTGGGGGTGTTACAGCGGTGGTGGTGAAGCCCAAAGGCGTGTCCTGTCCTCGGCATGGACCATGGTCAGGGGACAAGCTAGGCTCCTGTTTAAGAACGCTGTCCTGGGCTGAGGGCCAGAGAGTAGCTGTAGGCTCCCCAGACTCGCTCTGAGCCAGCACCAATGACTTTCCCGTTTACGGGCTCCACAGTGCCCTCTCGAGCAGCTGCCTAGTGCCGGACGCTCTTCTAGGCCCAAGTCGGAAGCTGACAGGACGCAGAATTCTCGAGTACCATTTCACAGCTCACCCCAACATGGTGGCATGGTGGCGTGGCGGGACAGTGGGAGCGAGCTGATCAAATCCAGGGCACGGGGCAGAGTGCTTTCAAGAGTGCGCTTCTTGAAGGATGTTTCTTTCAGGTTTTGGGCCTGAGTGTTGAACCTGGGGCCCTTGCACTGAGACACACCCCAACTCTTTTTTATTTTTCACCTTCGAGCCAACATCTGCCTAAGTCACTAAGTTGCCCAAGATAGGCCTGAACTTGTAATCTTCCTGCCTCAGCATCCAGGATGCTGGGATTGTGCGCCAGCTGGAGGAAGGCCTTTTAATCTGCTGGCCACCGAAGGGTTCCTCAGACAGGCCAGGAACTAAGCTTCAGGGAGGCTGACACAAGAGTGACCCCTGGAGGCCCGAGAGTAGGTGCATTGGGGTCAGAGTGCAGACACAGGGAGGGGGTGGTGGGGCCTGGGACAGCGCCAGATGGGCAGTGGGAAGCCACTGGGAGGCTTTAGGCAGGATGGTGAGGTCTCAGGTCAGCAGCCAGAGGGTGGCCAGACGCTGTGGACAGTGACACCGAGCAGCAACCCAGCTCGGCGCCCCTGTGTGTTCTCAGACCGCCCCGGGGTGCGGGACGCCAAGATGGTCGAGGCCATCCAGGACCACCTGTCCAACACGCTGCAGACCTACATCCGCTGCCGCCACCCGCCGCCGGGCAGCCACCAGCTGTATGCCAAGATGATCCAGAAGCTGGCCGACCTGAGGAGCCTCAACGAGGAGCACTCCAAGCAGTACCGCAGCCTCTCCTTCCAGCCCGGGAGCAGCATGAAGCTCACGCCCCTCGTGCTCGAGGTGTTCGGCAACGAGATCTCCTAAGCAGCGTGGTCTGTGTGGCGCTGGGCATGGCCCCGCAGCCCCTCCACCCCTCCTGGAGCTCAGCCCCTGCTCTGCCGTCTCCCCTCTCCACCTGGCCTAGTACCAGGCCCCTCTTTCCCGCAGGCCACTGCTGCCCTAGTCCCTTGAGATGTCAGTCATGAAGAGAGGGGTTTATTTGACAAACTCAAGTGGGGCCAGAAGGCAGAGGCTGGAGGAAGGGCCTTGCCCAGGGATGCCTCTACTCCTGGCAGGGCTGCTGCCAGTACCCAGGGAGGGCAGGCAGGAGCAGGGCGCCATCCCCCAGGGACAGAGGGGCCCATGCATCCCCCATACCAGGTCCATATGTCTGGAGTCGGAAGGGCACTTCTCTCCCCTACCCTCCCCATCCAGGACCCAAATAGGCCCACTCCTGCCATTTCAGCCTGCAGCCGGTCTTACACTGTTCTGCCCCAGGCAAGTGGGCACCAGTGGCCTCCTCCCCCTGAATCCCACCCCTAATCTGCCTGGGACACTCCAAGGATGACCATATCTGAGATAGCTAAGGTCACAAGCCCACACCCACCCTGCTCGCAAAGCGTGCTGGGCTGCATCCCTTTGCATGGTAACCCTCTCCCTGTGGGCAGAGCTCTGGCATGGTGGGCAGCCTCCACATCGCTGCAGCTGGGGAGCCCGGGAGGGTGGATGGCAGAGCCCAGCAGTGGGGAGCCCACCAAGCCTGGCTCCCGAAGGACTGGGGATGGTGGGCCTGGGTTATACCTGTCACCAAGCCCAGGCCCTAAGCCAAGGTAGTTGGCCAAGGGGAGCTGTGTCCCCAGCCATCTGTCCGGAGGGCAGTCCCCAGGAACTGTCTCCAGTTTGCAGAGAGGTCCTGACCCTCCTCACCCCGCCAGCACCTACGCCCTACCTAAGATGGCAGGCCTTCCTACTCTGTCCGCTCAGGGCCTCAGAAGCCAAAGTTGGCCACCTGGAATGCAAGCCTGTCTCGGGGTCACCTACAAGGGCCCCATCTCTGCCTGCTGAGCAGGATGGCACGGAGGAGCGGAGCTTGGCTGCCCAGCTGAGATCCTAGTACTGCTATGCGGGTATAGAAGCAGGCCTGGCACTATGTGCACGGCAGCCAAGCAGGCGTGTGGTGGTGGTGGCGCGGTGTGGGGCTGGTCCCCCTTCTGTCCTCACTCCATCACCCAGGAGTGAATCGGAGCCCGTGAGGCAGGGCAGGTGTGCGCCTCGCTCCAGACTGTATCTCTCCTCTGTAGCCAGCCTGGCCCAGGAGATGGGAGCCTTCTGGCCACTCCTGCAGGGTGGGTTCCTTGACATGGATGTGTGGTGTCTGCAGAGGTGCTTCATCTGGGAAACTTGGGGAGGGATCTTGAGATGACTGTGCTAGACCCCTCAGAAGGTGCCCCTCCACAGACACCTGTTCCCCCCCCAAATCCTGAAAGGAATCAGACTCAGCACTGCAAAAGCTGTGAGCATGCACCCAGCCCTGCCTGCATTTCTCAGGGTTCTTCAGGTGGAAAAAGATGTTAGGGCCACATTCTGCTGTAGACTAGTACACGTATGGCCTCCCAGTGAATGCATCAGGTATGAGCTATTGCCGAATCAGACTCCGTTTGCTCTGTCCTCAAATATCAAGGGGAACAGGCACCACTGATTCAGAGCTCTTTACCAGGGGAAACTCACATTGTGAAAATACTGTCCGTTGTGATTGTTGTTTTGACTGCTGTGTACCCTGACCTCCTTCACTACTCAGTGGAAGGAAGGACTTGAAAATTCTGAGCCAGTCCAGAGCTCTTGTGAAAGCAAAATGGCATGCAGAGGGCAGCAGGATATAACTGAACTCACTACTTAACAGTTGAGGCAGGACTGGGTGAGAAATTGGAGTCAGGGTCCAGTGCCCTTTTCCCTCAACCACCCTGTCTCTCGTTCCCCGGGCGGCTGACCCAGTCCCCTGGGGAAGGCCTGGATTTTAGATGGAACGAGCTTAGATCTGGGACCCCTTGTTCCCTGCCCTAGGCAGCAGCTCCATGGAATTGTCAGGAGGACGCTCGGCCTCTGCCCTGTGTGACTCTGATACCCGGGCCTTGGGCTCCCTGCCTCAGGCCTGAGATCCAGCTGCAGTGTGAATAAAGTGCATGGGCCTTAGTGAGGTGCCCACCTTCCCAGATCTCCCCCCCCCCGCCCTCCCCGGGGACCCTCCCCACTGGACCCCTGAGAATATCAGTATACTCAGCCTGGGGACCCCTAACCTCTGGGCCACTTCCAAAGAGAAAGTCTAGGAGCTGGGACAAAAGGACAGAAGGACAAGGAACATTTAAAGCTAAAGCTTTAAAAATATATTCCTGAAAATGAAGGAATAGACACCAAGACAGGAAACAAACAAGAGTCCCCAGAATACCTATGGCCCACTGGAAAGGAGCAGGGAGGTGAGCGAGGCCCACAGAGCAGGTTGGGGTGGGCGACACAGGTAGCAAACACTGGACTTCAGGCCACAGCAGAAGGCGAAAGGTGTCCCCTGAGGGATTCCCAGGGAGAAAGAGTGTTTGCCAGGAGTTTGTCACGTGAACCAGTGAAACAAATCTTTGCGTATGGTAATGAAAGTGGCTCATACTTACACAGCACTTACGTGGTGACAGCACCATTGTAAATAAATGCTTCATGCAAACCGACTTGCTGTATCCTTATAAGGACCCTAAAGGCGAGGGCTATTGTTGCTTCCGTTTGACAGAGGAGCTGACTTGTATCGACCCCACTGGTGGTGACATAGTGGGGCTTGGGGCCTGTGCAGCTGGCTCCAGAGGCCACTAGCTACTGCGGAGCTGACAAAGGCGCCACAGTTGGCATTGTCCTAAGAGGATCCAGGGGGCCCCGCTCCTAACTTGGGCCTCAAAGGAGATCCTGGGTGTGCCCTGTCACAGAGTGCCCTGCTCTCTCCTGAGGACCTCAGCAGAAAAGCAAGTCAGCTATTGATGACAACATGCCGCATGGGGATGCCCACAGTGCTGGTGACTTGGAGGACTGCAGGGGACTCCTACACATCCACAGAGCCCTGGGCCCAGGGCAGCAAAGGCCCATACCACCCCTTCTGCAGAGCTGTGAGGCTCAAGAGGATGGCTGGCATGGCCACAAACACAAGAGCCACCAACACAGGGCACAGCCTTGCGGCCTGAGCATGGGGTGATCAGGCTCAACTGACATGTGCTTCAGACAAGATAGTCTGGGACCCCGTGCGTGTGGGAAATTTTCAGCAGCATCTGAAAAGATTCCAAACCATGGGCTAAAATGGGCCACAGGAGGGCGTGGCTGCTTGTTAGGGAGATGACAGACACTGACTCACAGTCCTTAAAATTAGGCCAAAAGGGGTGGGCGAGGTAGCTCAGTGGACTAAGCACCTGCTTAAGCAAGCGCAGAGACCAGCATTTGATCCCCAGCACCACGTGCTGTGCCAGCCCTGCCCCCAGGTGTGCTGAGGCAGCCACCAAGACCTGGCATAGTGGTGCACACCTGTAACTCCAGCGCTGGAGTGAGACAGGTGGCTCACTATGAGTCTAAGCTGCGGAGTGAGACCCTGTACAATGAAAAAAAAGGCCAAAATGATTTGAGGTTTTCACTTTCTAAATATTGGTCCTATATCTGCACCAATCGACAGAGTAAATTTTAAATTATTGAAATTAGCCAGGTGTGGTGGCGCAAACCTGTAGTCCCAACACTTGGGAGGCTGAGGCAGGAGGATTGTTGTGATTTTGAGGCCAGCCTGGGCTACAAAGTGAGCTCAAGGCCAGCCTGAACTGCATAGCGAGATCTAGTCTCAAAAAAGACCAAAACATAGAAATAAAATGAAATAATTAAATTAAATTAAAATGGTTGTGTACTTCATAGTGACCCAGGCCACAGGCTCAGGAGCCCCAGGAACAGTGAAACAGAACATCCTCATTATTTCAGAAGTTGTGTTGGACTGCACCGGTCTGCACCGGTCTGCACTGGCGTCAGCGGCGGAGGACTTGCTGAGCTGGGGGGTCAGCCCAGTGTGCGGCGGTTGCTCTCCCGTAGAAACCCCCTGTGGCAAACGCATGCTGAGCACCCTCCCCTTGGCAGGCCGGCCGCCCCGGGACTACTGTGAGTAGCTCTGCTCCTTGAAAGATGCGTAAGGGAAAGCACCGGGGCCGGGCCGGGGAGACAGCTCAGTAGAATAAGTGCGTGCCTGGCAAGCGCAGGGTCCTGAGCTCAATCCTCATGCCCTGGCGTGCGTAGAGCCGGGGCGTCAGAGGCCATCGACGCGTCCTCGGCCTGCGGAGCGCGGGGCTCAAGCAGTCGGCGCCACCCTGGAGTGGCCAGCGCCTCTGGCTTCGGCAGAGCCTCCCTGTGCAGTGGGGCGCCCGCCGTGTGTTGCCCCCGGGCCGGGCCGCAGCCTCCAGGAGCCTAAAGGCCATCCGGCAGCCTCAGCAGGAGCGAGCGGCGGTGCCACAACCCGACTGCCTAGCCGCGCTGGTCCTCACCGTGCGTGCGCGAGGAGCCTGTGCAGATTCGGGGAGGCTGCTCGGCCTCACCAAGGGGCCCGGCAGATGCGGGGCTACACACAGCGCTCTCAGGCTCGCAGGCAGGTCCCTGGAAAGCTGGGCGAGCGCGGTGGAGACTGCTGGGAAAATGCCTCGGGTCGTCCGCTTTGGGGAAGGGAAGGAGGTCAGACCAGGAGGGGCAAGAGCGCGGAACAAAGTCCCAACGAAGGCCTCAGCCTCACGGGGAGCTCCGACGTGGACACAGCGCTTTGGCCGACCTGGAATTGAGGCGAGGAAGTCGAGAGTTTCTATTTGTGTGCGAGTCCCTGGGTGCGGCTGTCCTGGCCAGAGGGGACAGGTAGGGCCAACCGGGCTGCGGCGTGTCCTTTCGTCCGTGGTGTAGCCAGGCGTGCGCTTTTGCAGTGATCTGCTGTGACTCTGAGGGAGGCCAGAAGAGTGCGGGACGATGCGAGATTCCAGGAGCTACCTTCTGACCCAGGTCGTTCCGCGTTCCCCGCAACCT